AAGATATTGATGAAGACTTCAGTAGATCAATCAGCAGGCAGTTCATTTGTTGGCAACAGTTTGCCCACATATATACTGTACTCACTGCATACTTTCCCGACTATCTGGAGGATCTTTTCTTGGGCACTTCATTAGCCGGTTGACAGCTGCTAATGAACCTTTCAAAGCACAACCTCCTTTTGCGGCAAGTTCATTGAACGATTCAGCCAGCGTGCACGAAATTGCAAAACTAATTTACAATGGAACTACTTTCGTTTAAGTGGGCAGGGATTTCAAAGTTCAGGGTGGGGTGGTACCCTTTAGGGAATTATTTTTAATTTTTTTTGGGCGGCACTAGAGGGCATATTTTTGATGGATTATTACCTTGGCAATTAATTTCAATAAAAAATAAATGATTCGTGAATAAAGTATTTTGAAATAAATAAATTACAAATGCCCATTGACTGAAATAAACCTACTTTACAATGAAATATTGGTTTGATAACCAAAATTTGTATAATGATATAATAAAAACATCTATATATTAAATTATATTTTAGTGAAGCTGAAATATATATTTTAGGATATGAACAAATATTAATATTTTCTTATAATTCAAATGCCAGAAATCCAAAAATGTATATTTTACAATGAAGATTTATTTATTAAGTATATTTCCTTAAAATTCAAATGCCAGAAATGTGAATATTTCCCGGGGTATTGGAATTTCTTGGCCTGCAACCAGAGAGCGTATCCTTTCGCAGGACCAACTTAAATTGCTGCGATAAGCTTTAAACTGCGGGCACTTCCGGCACGTTGTGCCGAACTCCTTGGCCATATAAATACATATATATGTACATATCGCAGACAGAGTATATAGCACATGTACTTTGCGTCCAGCTCGGAAAGTGTTGGCAAGGATATGCTTAAACATGCAAATTTTCAATATGCAGACAAAACAGACACAAGCACAACATGCATGCCTGCCCAGAGTCGCCGATGTGGATGTGAACTGGTGTACTGGTGGACTGGTGGACTAGTGGACTTGTGGATGTGGATATGGATATGGACTTGGGTGGGGAAATGGTTGGAAATTTTCACTGGCGGAACGTGAAATGCAATTGGGGCCATCGCCATCGCCACAGCCACAGCCAAAGCCATCCCTCCCCTTTCATCAGTCCCCTTCTCGATGAAATTGCCCGATTGTGTTGAAGTGTGATGTAGGCTTCGCTTGTTGGCCGGGCCAAGAGGCCTTTGGCACATTTCTGTGTCGTGAAATTAATTTCTCCACTCGGCTCTTGTTAAAAACTGCTCTTTATTTCGTATATGATGTGTGTATGTGCCTTCAAATTACCATAATTAAACAGGCGCGGCCCAGGGGCCTCAAAATGCCGGCTAGTTTGTACACCACTTGTTGGCTTTCTAAAGCTCATTTCTGGATTTTAGCAAATACTTTACAAGCTCCAGCAATTAAAAGAAAGTAATCATTATAGGGTATTTTAACAAAATATCGTCACAATAACCATCGTTCATTTAAAAACAGCATATAAAACATTTTCTGCGGGCAACTCTTATAGTTTTTTCCAGATCCCTTGACATCTTTGTTCCACGGCTACTATTTTTACCATCCCTCCTTAAGATACTTGTCCATAACTATCATTTATCATCTCATAACACACACACACTCCCATACCACTCAGAAATGAAAAGCCACAAAAAGTTGCCAAATCATGGGACCGAACGATTCGTCCGCTGGCTAAATGTATTTGTATCTTCATTTGACATGCTGACGGTGATAGCGTGGTTTTCTGTTTGTTATTTTTTCCCTGTTAGTTCTTTGATAAATTGAATAAATTTTATGGTATAATTAACTCATGTTCATAGCTAATGTGAACGCGCTCCGCCCCCGTAATTAAATATCTGTAGTTATTGCATAAAAACGGTAAAGTGGATCACGATATTTTATTTAATGAACAAATGGTAATTGAAAAGTTTAATGTACTTTAAATAGAAAATTTCCCAAGGATAGCTAGTCTGGAGTGGAAATAAATCCGGCAGCATAAGATACAATTTATATGGGGATGCAACCACCCTCAGGTGAAACCGAAATACACAAAAAATAATTTAGATAAAGGTTAACATAATTTTGATAAGGCGGCCACAGAAATTTATATGCTCGCACCTAACTGCAAATTGTGTGTAATGAGCTAAGCGGCGACCACCTTTAAATTCACCTTTGCCCTCGACTTTACCTTTTTCTCCTGTATTTTTTCCATCTCCCTGGCAGTTAGTAGCACCTTTCATGTTGTCTAAGCCCGAAGAAGACATAAATTTGTTAGCGCCTGCCTGGTCAAGATCCCAAAACTCATCCTTTTCGGGGGTGTTTTCTGTTTTTTTTTTGTTTTTTTTTTGGCTCCTGTTCCTGTCCCGTGCCCAAAAAACACAGAAAAATTAGTCGAAAGATATAATGTTAAGGTGGTGCCGCCTGCGAGATCGGACGCTCGAGATAAGTTGCTTCATATTTATGTTGGAAATTAGGCAAATTTTTAGTGGCGAGATAATTTGTGTACGACTTTGTCGCAGTGAGTGAGAAAATTCCAGGCATCTACGCTACGACCCAAAATGGAAAGGTTTTTCTGTGGTTAAAATGGAAATAAAAATTCTGTAACGCTTTGTAAAACAAGATTACACAATTTTTATGGGTGTCACATTTGTTATGGGAATGGAAATGTGATAAATTCTAATAGGTTTACAATATAACTATGTATATATTGTCCCTCAATCTTTTCAATACCTTACTTTATAATTTTGTCCCTTATGTAATTAAGAAATCGAACTACAAAAACTGATACCAATACAAAAACTTGTTAAACTTATAATTACTGTTAGGAAAAACTTGATATATTTTTCATAACAGTATGACACTTTCCCACAGTATTTCCCAATTTCAACCACCCAACTCAAGTTCGTAATTAAGACATTTGGAAAGCGTCTGAGTTCGGCTCTTTGGTCAAAAACGATTTTTTAATTGTTGGCTTCAAAGTGTATAATTATTGGTTAGTTATCGGTTAGGTAAAATGCCTTAGCTTTGAGTTTATATAAGCCATATTTAAATGCCGCCCCAGCCAAACCAATGTTTCTTTTTCTGACCCTCTTTTTAGAGGCCCATTTATATTTTTGCCACATGGCCTATGGGCTAGAAAATTAAGTTATTAAATCTTGAACATATATGATTTGTATGATTGAGTGTGTGTGGCAGGTGATTAGCGCCAATAGACGGAATAATTTATAAATATATTGTCAAACGTGAGAATAATTAGGGGTTTGAGGAAAAGCAATATCAAAAACATCATTTAAGAAGGGTAGTTAAGGTATAATAAATATTGATATTTGGTGTAATTCAATTAAATGTACTGTGACACTTTCTAAAAATTATTTAAGAACGATTTTTTTGCTTAGATAAATGTTTTTACTATCAATTATATTTAACAGAACTTTCTACACCTCTTTTTTAATAAAAACTTCCGTAATAATCTCTATATTATTTGCCTGAACGCTTTCCATTAGCAGTTACATTATCTGTATGGCCTTTTCATACGAATAGTTTATCTGGGAAAATTCACAAATTAAAACCCACTCAAATTCGCTTTGCCAACAACTCCGACAATGTTCACTACCCATTTATCTGCAGATAGGTCGCGATGTGGAACCCCTTCGAACAAACAACACTTTTAAATGTTAATGGCCGTGTAAGAGCAGAGCAACAGAAATTAATAACAAACGTCCGTGGAGCAGACATACATCATTAGAAATTGATGACGCATGTCGCGTGCAACTGCATCCATTGTTGATGGCATGCAACCCTTTTTCAGTTTATTGCCAGCAACATGGACTAAAACACGGAGTAGTAATTAATTAGACTTTCATAAAGAGCACAAAATTCTATAAATTATATTTCATTGCCGTTCACAAATGTCAGTGGCCATGCGCGACTGCGCATCACGTGTTGCAGGTTGCTCCCCCCCAGCAACTAGCAACTATCAGCTAGCAACCTGCAACCTGCAACCCCACATACTTAGCGCTAATAACCGCTATCCATACTTTCAAAAACATTTATTGTTCGGCCATTTCAATTGCATGTGGCTTGTTTTGTAGGCATTAAATCTAAAATACAAATTAATTTATATATAGTAAATAAACGCCGATCGCATTGTGTTATAAATTGTTTATTCAGTTTCGCTCCTCCTCTCTTCGCTCATAATTTAAATAAGTGTTTATAGTAATAGTTTTCGCATTTGCTTTTTGGGGGCTGGGGGGAGTGTCTAGGGGGTTTAATTCAGCGTAGAATTCTCACAATAATTTGCAGTTTTAGGAACACATGGGGACGACAACAAAAAACACAGCAAAAGTGGGGGATGCATATTGCTAGGCCTAATTAAATTAACTAATACTGTTATAATGCTACAAAAATTACAATACAGTGAAACCGGTTATGACGGTTTTCTAGCTTAGCATCACATGCAACATCGAATGCATCTTTGGATGTTGCAGCAACATTTTCGGGGTTATTTACAAAGGGTATTCTTTCTATTTTTTTTTTTGCTCAACAACATTGCACATACATTTCGTTGATATTCTGGTGTGGTCTTTAAATCTTATTTTTTTAAGGTTTTTTTTTTTAAACGCAATTTCCTTGATTGGCAAATTCTTAATTATAAAAATCGAAGGAATAACTTAGTGGTTTTTGATTTATCTTGAAAAGACTTTAAATATTTATGTTAAGATTGTAAATTAATTTATTGCACAAAGCAGCTAAAATTTGGAATCAGCCAAGGGAATAATTAAATTTGGCAAAGTTTGGAGCTCTTTTCAAAAGCTGATTTAATATTTAATGTGACAGAATAAGATCAAAAACGTTATAATAATTGTTTAATTTCTGATATATAAGTACATGTTTTAATAACTTTTACCTATTTAAAATTTGTTATTTAAAATATCACAAAGTAAAAGCTTTCAACTTAATTTCAATGTTTTTGCTGATTTATTTTTGAATTGAAAATTGATTTTAAATTTAGAACCCATTTTGATTGATTTTTGTGCAATAAACACGGAAATGTGTTGAATACAAAAATGTCATGCTCTAAATAGCACAGAAATATTTGTTGTGCTTCCTAAACTGACTTTAATTGGTACTTTTATTCAGAGATTTAAAGACCACATCAGAATATTTTTGTTTTTGGGTGGGGCAAAGGGGGGAATGGGTGGTGTGTTGGGTGGATTAGTTGATTGCGTTCATTATTCGTTGGTCCTAAGGACTTTCTGCCCGATTCGAGGCTGGTGGCGAGGCCTGATGCTGGGGCACCTGGTAGGGACTGAATCGCTGCGGATAGTGGCTCAGCTGGGGCCTAGACCTCAAGTCCGGCGAGGCAGATCCGCACGAGGAGGTGGGCGTGGCTGGGGCGGGAGGGGCCACCGAAACGGGAGGCGGTGGCGTCCGATTGGCGCCCGCTGCTGCCAAGGCCAAGGCCGCCTGCTGATTGGCACTGGCCAGGAATCCGGCCGTCAGCTGTGGCCACTGCTGCTGCCACATGCCCAGCTGAAAGGCGCTGAGGTGGGGGGGCGGCGGAGGGGCAACCGATCGCTGATACAAGTGCGGCAGCAACATCTCCGTGTACGGCGATCTGCCGAACATCTGCAAATGCTGGCGGGCTTTTTCCAGGAGCGCCAAGGACGCGGCATCCGCCTCCTGAGGCGTCAACTGGGACATCAAGGGATCCGGAAAGAAACGCAGCGGAGCGGTTCTCATGTGCTGGTCAAAAAAGAACGCATCCATGGGATCTCTGAAAAAATGCCATAGAGAATGACAAAATATTATCTTTGGGAATGTGTTTATTAAATAAATAAATCAAAATAAGACCCATTAACCAGTATAAATAGACAAATTGTGGCAATCAATTTCAAATCTTTGAAAACAAATGTATAATAAAACGTTTAGTAATTATTTAGTAATTTACAATTGGTGAACAAAGACTTCAAATGGATTATTTGAATTTTTACTTAAATGAAATTCTCACGTTTAAATATTAATTAAACTCTAGTATTCATTTAGTAATTTACAATAAAAATGTCGAAACAAATACTTAAAAAACATGGTTTTTAATTAAATACGTTAATGAAATTCTCACGTTTAAATATGAAGTAATTATTTGGTAATTCAGAATTGAATTTAGAAACAAATTCTTATTATTTGTTTATTTGTATTTAAATTAAGCCGTTTAATATTGTAATTATAGTTCCAAATTTTGTTTTGTTGATGTTGATGGAATTCGGTCTCTAAAAGCCATTGGCACTCCATTAAGTTGGAGTTGCCGACATTTCTGTCTTAGGGAAGTTGGAGCTTGGAGATCTTGGACTGTCAGAACCCGATGAGCAACTTGTTGCTGCCGCCACTTCAGCCGGAGCAATAACATAATTACGTCGAAAGTAACTGCCAATTGCCGACACTAAACAACAGGAACAACAACACCAGCAACAACAGAAACAACAGCAACAAGAGCAACAAGAGCAACAAGAGCCCACATTCACTCATTATTTTCGTGTTTTCATTTCATGTACGAATCGGCATCAAAGTTAAAAGCGCCGATCTGTAATTTACGCCACTTAAGCCGCCGCCGTGCCGGCTACAACAGCAACATTGCTCTTGGTGTTGCTGCTGTTGCTGTTGCTGTTGCTGCTGTGCCCGCGTTGCTGCTGGCGGCAGAGCGTTTGCCGTCTTAATAGTCGCCGCCTTGCAACACTTTGAAGTCGCTGTCGAAAAAAGGGCAGCAGCCCTCAGCAAAGCTGCAAAAAGAAGTTGCCTTTTGGCCAGATCCTGATCCTGGAGTAGGGCAACATGTTGCCAGATGGGCACAAGAAACATGTTGCGTGCGGAAATGTTGCAACAAAGTTTTACTGAATGAGCAACGTTATTATCATTTGATTAAAATGACTTAATCCTTTTCTAGCAAAAAATATGCAGAAATTATAAGAAATATACTGAATTTCCAAGGAAAAAAAGAACACTGATTTCTTTATTTTTCTTAAAGCCTGCGTTCCGCAATCACACACATTCACATCCAGTCATATAATCATATAAGTTCGATCCGATTGATCGACGCTGCTGCACGTTGCAAACCAATTGAAGATGAAGAACCGGCTGAAATCGCCTTGCAGACTGGCACTTTCACACATTTTCGCTAATCAGCGGCAAGTTGGGCTACTGTATCGGCTTTACGGCTCAACAGGCCATCGTAAATTAGGCCATAAATCAGACATGACCCCATAAAAAAAGGCGAAACGGGGGCAACTACGGCTCCATGGGTGAGGGGAACTAACTATAGCACTTACCTATCAAAGTCGCTGAGACGCGACGAATCGCGAAATCCCTTCGCAAACGGATTCGAATCGATTTTCAGTTTCGTAATCAATTGATTCTGATAGGCCGTCACGGCCGTGAACACGGTCTCCGGGAAAACGAAGGTTTTATGGTCCATATCCTGCAGCTCCTTGGGATTGCCGGGCATGCTCTGGCCGTGGCTCAATCGCACCAAGTGGATCCTGGGCTGGTAGCGGTGCATTGAGTTCAGCACGACCTGAAATAATGAGATTCGGAACAAGGAGATTCCCTGAATGCGGATGCGGATTGTTTGTTGTGTGTGCCGGCCTTATAAAAAATGTACGTCCATAAAAAAGTAGTCGACGTTTGTTTTGACTGTCCTCGCAGCGTCTTCGTTTACTCCTTCACATCTCCCCACTCCCATCCCCATCCATATCCACAGCCTTTATGACCGTGATAAAAACGGTAGCAGGCTCGAAAATCCCAGAAATATATATGTGAACAGGGTCTTGAGCCCTGGTCTGCTCGTATTTGCCACCAAATTGCCAACAATTTTCATTCATTTTTGTACGCGCGCAATCCCACATTTGCATATTTGCATATGTGCATCCGTTGGCAACCCTGGCTGACCCCTTTTGACCTCGCCGACTCGGAAGACAATGGCAAGACGGCCGCCAGTTTATGTGTGTGTCTCTCGGCCTAAATTATTCACATGTGAGTCCTGAGATGACTGAAGTTTGGGCTACATTACATATGTTGAAGGAAGTTGGGGCTTTACTTAAAGGCGAGAATGCTTTTAATTTATTTTGTTTATAATAACTATATATAACTTTAATGTTTAGTTACAAAAAAATTAAACAAAGGCTGAACATTTTCATAACAAATAATAAAAACTCTTCGATTTCTTGGTTCTTTTTTTTTAACTGAATAAATTCTGACACAATTTATTTGGGACTTAGAACCGCAATAATAAAAAAGAATACTTATTCCTTTAAAACGTTCTTTTTATTTCACCCTCATGTTCTCTTCCATTTATTGCCTTATTGATTTTTCCAGCCTAGCTATCATTCCTCTCGTTTTTCCCGACTTTTCTTTTATCCTGCCAGACGCTTCAACTCACCTGTCCGCTCTTGTCCATCTCGTTGTTTGTCAACTTCACTTTTTCGAAGGAGACGACCTGTTTTCTTAGCGCCTCCGGACTGAGAGGACAATCCGGATGGGCGTAGATGCGGGCGGGGGGCGGTGGATCGGCTTTTCCGGCCACCAGCCACGAACTGCGATGATAGGCGTAACGGTAGCGCCGCGAATCCAGCGGTACGACGTCCAAAAGTACGGCATATCGGTCCGCCGGTTGAATTTGCCTCAGGGGACCCGAAAAACTCACTCTCACGGTGGGGAACATGCGCCTAAAATAAAATAAATATAAATTTAAAGTGTGCTTCAAAATGTTATCAACATCTACTGCTTTAAAAACTTTCAAATCCGTAAATTAAACTAAACTAAATTAAAAAGTAAATTAAAAAAAATATTACGGAAACTATCATAAGTTATATTATTTTATGATATATATTGCTTAAGGAACAGGTTTTTTGATTTAAATTTTGTATATAAAATGAGCAACATAGAATGTGTTTCTAAATATTTTATATGTCAAAATTTGTATATACATTAAAACATCTTTTTAAGAGCATCAAGGTGTTTGGGAAATGTAAGTTATTTCAGGGTAACCCACACAAAAAGAAGAATATCGTGAACTATTTTTTTATTGCCCGCCATTGTGTTGCTGCAACTAGAAACAAAACTAAAATAAGGTGGTGAGCTAGCAAGGTATGTAAATAAGACGCATATTTAATTTTATGACTTTTAGCACGTTTTTGACACATTTCCGCAAGCGATGTCGTCGTCCTGAACACGGGACCTTCACTCAGCGGGTGGGCGGGAAGGTGTGTGTACCGCCCCCGCCCACTTGCCACCCACTTACCACCCACCATCCACCCGCAAAGTCGTGTTTGTGGCCGCAGGTAAGTGTAAATGACGCTAATGACCCAACCCAGTTTTTTGTCATTTGTCTTGCCAAATGTATGAACCCGATATATACTGGGTGGGTTAATTATAATTGATTTGCTTTCAGTTGCTTTGGTAAGTTAATTGTGCAACATTTATTAAACAAAATTGTATTATTAGGGGCTATTTTTGGCCTTTCATTGCTTGGTGATGTTGTTCCTATTAAATAAAATACATGCAGAGGCTCTATAGACAAAGAAATATTGTCTTTCCCTATACAAATTGATCTGCTAAATATTTGTTTTGTACCTTTAAAGTATAGTTATACATTTGTAAAAAGTTTGGAATATCTTTCAAAATCAACTGGCACAAACAGCTATTTTTTGAATTACTAAAGTGTTAATATGAGCATTTCGGTAAAGAAAGGACTTTCATTGTCAAACACGCGAGTACAATTTGTACCTGTTTAAGTAGGTCTAATTGAAGATTTTCTTTCTAGTCCAATTTTCGCATTTCTCCTTCATCATTCACCCCACTTACAAGTCTTGTTTGTTGTTCATTTGTTTATTTGTCAGAGCTGTGTTTACAGCCCATTATTGTAAGGGGCGGCTCCAGTGTCACCATGATTGTTTTAGCCACCGACTAACTGTTGTGGCCGCGTATTTAGCGCAGTTACCGGGCCAAAACGAATCCGAATCCACACAGCCCGTAATTGTGATTTGTGTTGTAAACTACGAGTGCTTTTCAGCTGCACTCGCAGTTGCATGCCACAATTAGCACCATTGTAGCGGGCACTTAACGTGTTCCGCTTATCTCGATATCTGCACGGACTATGAACTACGGACTTGCATTCACGGACCCACTGAATATCCTCACTCGAGCCTGACCGCCAAAACTCAAGAACGGAAGCCACCAAACCGGAAGCTTCCATTTTGTTTCTACCCCCGAAACGAGTGTCCAAGAATTTGTTAAAGAAGCTCATGCAACAAATTACTTAGTGAAAAGAAATCTACAAGCTTGAAAATAAAAAACAACATTAAGTAAGTACATTAAAATAATAATTTTATTCAAATTTAAATTTATTATTTAAATTCATATGCCAGCCTATCGATTTTATAACTGATTACTAAATACACAATCGCATTTGTTTGTTTGTCTACAGAGAGAAGCTTTGATATTTCCTGTTAGTTGTAGTTTTTTATGGAATGTAGTATTTATTATTATTTTTTTTTAGGCCCAAGAATTTAGTTTATTTTTATTTAGAACTTATTTTTCTCAGTAAGGAACGAATTGTTAGCACTTTCTGTCGGCTTGACCGACCTGCTAATGTGAACCATAAATGTGTGAAAGTCGAGCAACTGCCACGCCCAGTCTTGATGGGCCATATCTAATGCCGCCCCCGCTTTTCTGTATGATTTTTTTTTTTTTTTGTTATTTTGTGGTGTTTTTGCTGCTAGGCGGAAATGTCGTAAATCATATTCCAGCATTTACATACATTTTACGAGTTGAAGAGCCGCCCGAGGGCAGGCAAAGCCAATGCGAAAGCAAAAGCCACTCCCCTGCCAACTTGGCTTTTTTTTTTTTTGGTTTCGTGGGGGGTTTCCCCAGCTCAGTTCGCCCGCTGGCCGAGCTTCTAAGTGTGGATTTTATGTATTTGTTTATGGGAAAATTAGGGAAATGGCTTTTACTCAGTTTTTCGGACCGCGGAGAGCGAAAGAGAGAGCGAGAGCTTAGGTGCCAAAGGTTACAATTATGAAGTTTACACACCATTTGCCATGGGGTGGCTTGGCTTTCAATTAGTTGGCTACGGACATGTAGGAACAGCAATTCATTATCAACACCTTTGTTACAGCAAATTAAGCCTCAAGGTCCAAAATTAATAAAATGCAAATTAGCCAGCAACTAAAAAGCAACCCCAAAAAAATGAAAGAAAAACAAAAAAAACGAGACAAGAAACCTATAACTTTGATCTTATCGCCAGCTGACAACACTCCCCCAGTTGACTATCTTTTATTAGTTGATTAATTCATAACTCAGCCCGTGCACCTTTCCTCCAAAAAGGGGATTAACTTGTTTCAATGCCTTGCCGACCATTTCAGCTGCCCCGAAATATTAATGAAGTTGTGGAAAATGTTGTTTAACGGAAAAAGAGAGCGAAATATCTTGGCCTGCAAGGGGTTGCACCATGAAAATTGCAATTGCCACGCATCCTCTGAAGTCAGGCTACTGTCCTTCCAATATCCTGCGGCGGCCGAGAACTCAAACACGGCTAATATGCGTGAAGCGTTTGTCGCAAAATATTGACAAACTCCGGGTATTTTCGAGGGGTCAACAAACAATTAGCCCGCCTGCCCGACTGCTGATTTTTGCCTCTTTTGTCTTTCGAAAATGCCAACCTCAAAACCGCTGACAGCGTGACAAAATCGCAAACCACGTGATATTTTATTTCAACAACCGCACGCACAAAGAAAACCATCCCAACCTGACCACGTAACAGGTAAAAAATTCTAACGCTCTCACTCTGACTTTGACTTTAACTTTAACTCTGACTCTGACTCCTTTTTGTTTTTCCCCTGGCTGTAAATCATCTGAAAAGTCTTCGTTTCCCACTTTTTCAAGTTTCAAATGTGTTGGCAATTTGCGGCAGTTTCTGGCTGTTTTTCACGGTTTCCTTCTGATGACAGCCACGCATGCGCATTTGCATGTGGAGTCGACATTTTCACAGCTGCCGAGGAGAATTGCCTTTCGAATGGGTAAAAAAGGCGAAAATGGGTATGTGTGATGGAAAGAAAAATAGCCAGTTACTACAGCTTACTGTAAAAAAAGCATATTAATAAGGTAACTCAATTGATTTAAAATTTTTAGGGGGTTAAAGATGGATTCGAGAATTTTGTTTAAGTTTTTTCAGCTTATAAAGAAGAACCTTTAAATTATTCTGTTATATTAATTTGTAAAATATTTAAAAAAAATTTGTAAATTGAAAACTTGATAGCAAATTAACATTATATTAGCACTTCAAGATAAGAATACATATATTTTCAATTTAAGTATACTTTAAAAAGTTTATTAATGGTATTTCGACAACAGCGTGTGGTACAATATGTATTTATTTTTTAAGTGTTTATTAATAAATAATATCATTTCTGAGTAAATATGGTAAAGAAATATTGTTTAATAAAAAAACTTTTGCAGTACATTTATTATTTTTACATTTATCATATTTGAACAGCGTTATTTGAGGACTTTGCTGTACACAAAACTACCAATTTCAATATGTTTTCCGTTTTCGAACTGTATTCGCCATGACAGACTGCACCGAGTCATGCTATCCAGTCAACCTCAGAGCTTAAGCCACCAGTCGTATATTTGAGCAATTTAAAATGTATCATTCACATAAAAAAGTCCCGCATTGCCACACCCACTTAGCCACCTGGCCCGCCCCTTTTTGGTGAACATGTTTAGCTAGCAAACGATGTGCTGACATAGATGGATATCGGGAATGAAAATTATTCTGCTGCTGTTTTTCACAGACTTTACTTTTTTTTTGCAATTGTGTTGCATGCGTCCGTCAAACCCGCACAAATGTAAATAAGTGTCGGCCGTTCATCGGTATCCTTTGACTAATTACAGGGCCAAAAAACAGAAACGCAAAAACACAAAAACACGAAGCACCAGGACAAATGTCCCGAAAGCCAAAGGACATGCAAATGCGTTGTTAGCGCGACAATCGGCAGCTATTACAATGCAATTTATACTTGCTGTGGATCTCGTGGATCTCGAACTGGGGGGCCAAAGAGTGGAAAACAACGGTGGGGCTGCGAAAGGAGTAAATTTGTTAATGTGTCGTAAATGCGCACAAAAGGACTGTTGACGGCCACCAAAGGGTTAAGCAACACCGAAGCCAAACAAACAAAAGTTGCCAAGCAAAAAAGAAAGAAAACGGTTGAAAAAATATGAAAAACATTAACACCCCATGTAAGTTTGAGAGTCGAGTATGAGATACCTTGTAGGCAAGTACAAATTGAGGACTTAATTACATACATTCATTCAAAGCAGTATTATATATTAAAATATTTGTAGTTATTGCTGTTGGCTAATTTTTAAAATTTAATTGCATGTATATATATAAAAATTTTTTTTTATTCTTTCAATAAATTTTGCATTGGAAATCATGTACAATTTCTAAAGATAAATATATTTTTTTAGTACCCTAAAAATGGAAATTATTGTACTCAATTTAGTTTTCATAGACTTACAAAAAAAAAATTGCTAATGAAATAACTCTGTCCCGATTTGAAATCTAATGACTTCCTAAACTAACAGTTTTCACATTATTAGTGCCAAAATTTATTTATACCTATCACAATGTTTTTTTTTAATCCTACCAAAGTTCCATCATGCCTGGATCTCCCCAGAAATAAAACCAGCCAAACCAAAACAAAATAATCAACAAACAAATGAAGGGAGATCCTAACTACTACCTAGCGACTAATGCGCATTTCGCATGTTATCGGGAAAAAAGAGAAAGGAAAAAACAAAACACAAAAAAAAAACAGCCAAAGTTCTTTGCCCCAAAATGTTATGTTTCATGTTCATGTTCATTTTCCCTTTTTTATTCGCATTTCAAAACCCCCTTTTTACCGCGCCACAACATTCGCACGAGAATCGAAAATATCGTCGAGCAATAATTCCTTCAACTTCTGGTGAGTTGAGAATGAAAAGTCGTTTAACCCGCTATTTTTATGTGAGAATGTGTGTCCGTGTTTTCTGGGGGGTATAATGGGTATAATATTTATTATTTTTTCAAGCCAAAACAGCTGACGAAATGGTCGTTGTTTTCTTCCGCTTCTGCTAATCGAAAATCGACGCAAATTACTTCGATGCCTTGTCAATCAAAATTTCTTGATGTAAATGAGGAACTAACCGAAAAGTTGTTGATATTTTCCAGTTAAGACGGAGGGGCGGTCAGGGGGCGTGGCCGAGAGCTTATAGACAACATGAGTTGGGAAATGGAAGTTGTGAGTTTGGATTTCCACGGGTGAAAGGCGCATTAAAGTTTTATTGATTGTGCTTTTCGTTCGAGGACTTTTCGTGGGCTTGATTGGTGGCCGATTGCCGGGGGTGGCATTATGGTTATGACCCGGACTGCCCCTGCCACTCCCCCTTTGTCGGCCACCGATCCACGCCTCTCTTTCACCGCCGGCAAATTGAATTCCAACGAATGTTTAATGAATTAAAATGCATGTTGCGAGGCTGAAAAACGAAATGTGATCGATTATCGGGAAATTTCTTTCAATAAGTGAACATGTCGATAAGTGAAGTTTTCAAATTGCTCGGAAATGTTTTGCTTAATTGGTTGGTCGAACTTTTAAGTGCAATAAGGAAGAGGTCATTATGGAAAGTGTACTCTTAATCAATAAAAAAAAGGATGGAATTGGATGAGATTTTGAACTTTATATAATTTAAATACGTTTAATGTAAATTGATATACATACATATATTAAATAAAAATTGTAACCCTAGTTAGACAACCATCACATATTCTTTGCCATGTGTATTTATCATTTTTTTATTATAAAGACAACATTTAAGTTTTTAAATGTACATCTCTCCTTGAATTAGTACTTTAAACCATTCTTTGTGGCATGAATGAATGCAACGCTTTTCCCTGTTTTTCCTTCTTTACCATCCCACTCACTTAGGCGTAAACCCCTTAATTTATGCATTTATGTTGCCGCCATGGCACTCACCTGCCCGATTTGGTAATGATCATTTCAGTGCCCAATTCATGGAACTTATCCCACAGCTCCTTGGTCTCCAGGTGGCACTGGACGGGCGTGAGATCGTCGCAATTGCACGAGCCCACTATCTTGGGCGTGGGCTGCTGTGGGCGTGGCAATCGCATGCAAAAAATACAACAAAATAAAAAGAAGGAAAGAATTAAGAGAAGATTTTAGTAGGATGCTTGAGGAGATGGGCTGCCATTTCTGCACACTTTGTTGTCAAGGTGTACACAAGTAAAAAAATTAAGTACTTGTAAAATTCAGAACTTAATATGATTAAATAAGTTTAATTAATAATAATGCTTTTTCTTGTCGAATAATTTAAGGAATTTACATATGCTTAAAGGTTCTAATAAACAAATTTGTACTAAGTTTTATTATAACATTTGGGCCTTTATATTGTTCCTTTTGATATTATAGGAAGTGATATGCATATATATCTCCTGGTGTAGCTTTACCTGGGCTGGCGATTCCTCTGGCGACAGGCGTTCGAGTTCCTCGGGACTTTGAGAGGGCGGGGGCGGTGGCGGAGAGGGCGTGGCAGCGGCTCCAACTGCGGCAGCAGAACGCCCTCGATGGCTGCTTGATTTGCAGTTGCTGTTGCTGTTGCCTGAGTTGTTGATGTTGCTATTGGTGTTGCTGTTGCTGTTGTTGCTTTGATGATTGTGATGTTGGCGTTGTTGCTTGTTTGCCGTTGCGTGGTGATGTGTCTGCTGCTTTTGTTGTAGCTGCTGCTGCTGTTGTAGTTGTTGTTGTTGCTGCTGCTGCTGTTGTTGCTGTGCAACACGCAATGCCTGACGCGCTTGCTGCTGCGCCTGCAATGCTGCCGCTGCAGCCGCTGCTGTTGCAGATGCTGCTGCTGCTGCTGCTGCTGTTGCCGTCGGCATTTCCGAGTCACTGCAGTCGACCACATCAACGTCAACATCATCGTCCGCATCCTGGCCTGAATAGCGCTCCACGGATGCGGGACCTACACGTTAAAAAAAAAAAATATTTCAAATAAATCAGATATTAAATAGCCATACCTTAAAGAAGTAAATTAAAAGGAACTCTAATTGATATATTTTATTTAAGGTTTTAATGGTCATAGATTTGCTTTAAAAATATAGTTTATAGAAATAGTTTATAGAAATTTTTTAAATATAAATATGTTCTGCTAAGTAAGCTTAAAGTAATTAAATTGGAATTGTATTACCTCATAGTAATTAATTCAAAGTATTTAACTACTATGAGCTTACATTTAAAACCATAATTTCTTTAAATATTTAGTCTTTCAATAGCCCCATAATAAAATGAACTTAATTATTTAACAGACCTTTGTTTTAAGTAATTTTAGACCCCAATTTTGTAAGTGTAAATAGAAAAGAGAGATATCAAAGTGGACGACGGTTAATGTGGGAGTTGCTGCTGGGGCTGCAACATGTTGCATGTTGTCGATGACGAGTCGCAACAGCAATTGCAACGAGAATCCAGTTCGCGACCAGATGCATTTTACAGATTACGCCAAAAATTCAATTATTTGCTCAAAATGCAATTTCGTATGTTAATTTCGCCTGCATTTGTGTGTGTTGGCATTGCCAATGCCAATTGCCAAAGGGGAGGGGGTTTCACACTAATGAATGCATCTGTTTGCGCTTCTGTCTCTACCCAATTATGGCATCTAAATAGTTTTGTATTCAGAGTACACATTCGATTATATATAAATGGTGTATCTGCGCTGCGCTTCTCATGTGCATTTCCCATTTTCATTCCCCTTCCCCTTCCCCTTCCCAACCCCCCGCGCATTCAAATAGGCTTTGATTATTTTATTGCCGCGCATTTGCCGCAATTATCAAGTCATCAACGTTGCATTGTCATCAATATATAATTTATATAGCAGAAAAAAGCGAGCAAAAAGTGCGGAAAATATAGAAATATAATGCAGCTGTGACACTTTTTCAAAGGGTGAGCAACAGAGGAAGACTAGAAAGTTACGATGCAAACGATTATATGAGTTTTTGCATCACAAAATATATATAGAGATTATTTTTTAGCTTATTAAGAAAACTCATATGTTTTGCATCTTGAAAACATTTAATTAAAAACTATATATTAATAAGATAAATAAATAAAGAGTATTTAAAATATAAAACAAAACCTCAATTTTTCGCTTCCTTGCAAGCAATTGAAATTTTTGTTTTACTACTTGAACTTGTTCTGGTAAATATATATTTTTCACGGTCAAGATTATTAGCGGTGTCTATAGTACACTTTTTTATTTACTTTTTCATTTTCCATTCCAATCAGTCTAAAATTGTTCTTATAAATAAAACATTGAATTGCTTATAAGCGCTTTTGCACGCTCTTTCATTCTGAATCATTTAGCAGCCTTTCCTGTTGGAATTCAAAACTTTATAAGCGATACGCTGATTATACCCCATCATATCGTAAAAAATTATAGCTAAAACACCAGACAAACCCGTAACTTGGGATAAGCATCAACATGTGCGATATGCTAAGTTTTTTATTCTTTTCAACCTTTGCCCATCACTTTTATTGAGCTCAATCAAATGAATATTGAATATGTTAATAGAGTGGAACTTGTTTGTAGTAAAAAGTTCAACTCAAATATAAGAGAGATTCATGAATGAAAAAAAGTATAATTCTATATGTATAGGCCTGTTGATATCTAACTTAAAATATGAAAGGATAAATAGTTAGAAGAGAATTACTATTAAAGTAGTATTAGCTAACGATTTAAGCCTTTGTTTATTATAGAAAAGTAATAAGCCTAAAATACATATTTATTTTGTTTTATAAAATTAAAGATACTTCTCTATCAACTCTTAAGCTGCCTTAAGACTACTAAATAAATAGGTAATTCTACATAGGTCAGTGAGTTTTAACTATGTTTGTATTTTACTATATTTATCAGGGCTTCTTCTACTCAAAGCCAGCCAAAAATGAAGCGATAAAATGGCTTGGCCATTTAATAAAAGCTGTCTATATTTAGTTTGGGGTATGGGGGGTTGGGTTTTGTGTTTTGGGATCGGAATCGAAATCGAACTTTACTCACTCAGACTCCGTTCCGAAGGTTCCCGGCTGCTGGGGGCGTTTCCGCCGCGCGCCATAATCGCCGCAATTGAGAAATCCGTGGCGAAGGAAATGTTGTGCTGATTGTGATTATGATTGTGATGGTTGTTCAGCGGATTGTGGTGGTGATGATGAGAATGAGAATGATGATGATGATGATGATGACTGCTGCCGTTGGCGATATTCGCCGCTGCCACCGCCGCTGCCGAAACGATTTGTTGCTGCAACTTCGACTTGAAGTTCTGCGTCGGCGAAGGCGAAGGCGTTTGCTGCGGTCTCGTATTCGCCGGCTGATTGCTCAAAAGCATTTTCGGGCTGAGATTTTCCGTAGCTCTGCTCCACGGATTTTTCCAAATTTATTTTCGACTATTTTATCCAAGGTTTTCAAGGGATTTTCCTTATGTTGGCAGGGATTTACCTTTTAGAAATTCTTTGAAATTCTTTGAAATTTTCTATTATCTTTATCTAAAGCTTTTCGTTCTATTGCAAAACATTGTTAAAATAATCGCAATTATTTATGGATATTAATTATTTTTGGTGTCCAAAATTCAACCCTTGGTTCGCATTTAATAATATTTTTATCCATCGTTTTGAATTTTCATTTGCCGACTTTTTGCTCCAAATAAGTTAATAATATTTATCACTTTTATGAGAATGTTTCAATGTTGTTTTTTAAATTGAATATATTTTTTTAGCCCCAGCACTTCAAGCAGTATTGTTTAATTTATAGATTTAACAATTTAATATTTTGAATTGTTTTATTTTATAAATAAATATTATTATAAAATGTTTGTAAAATATTTTGCAAATGTTTCCAAGTATATTTCTGGTACAACGTTTTTCGAAACACTTTGCCACTTTACGACTTTACACCCGTATTTGCGGGTCTCCGGTTTCCGTGCTTTCCGTACGTGTTTTTGCGTATTTCGTCGAGGTGGAAACGGGAAAGGAAATTCCGGAGCGCCGTCGCTGCTTCACAGTCACGCAGCTGACCATTGAATGAATCCCAATTCGCTTTTCGCCATGTAAACGCCAAAAGCGCCAAAGCCAAAGCCAAAAACCAAAAACAACAACGACATCATCGACAACAACAACATCAAAAAAGTACAAAAACGCAACGCAAAAATCAACAACAAATACGACGACGTCGGCAGCGACGTCGACTGCGACGCCGACTGACCCCCAAAACAGAAACAACAACAGCTGATGTTCCTTACGGCGAAAGGTTTTCAACACCACGTAACGTAACGTAACAAAACGTAACGCGTAACGTAATTCTCTCGCACTTCCACTTTTCCAGAGAACAAAAGACAAAATTCAAAACTTTCCTTACGCCACGTAAGGAAACCGCAATTTTAACCGCAAAAGGAATGGAAAAAACTGACGTTTTTCAATTAGGAAAGTGCAAGCGGGATGGCCATACGTGCAGCGCATTCCCATGCTGCCGACAGCGACGCCAGCGTCGAGGCATAACTCATTTCCATTTTCCAATTCGAACACAAATTCCCATGCACTCAAGACAATACCAATTCATAAGCTGGTTATGCGTAAGAGCGGGACAACAAGACGCATTGCCAATTGAGTGAAGAGCGTTTTTCAGCGGCCATCTCTTTCGCACCGCAGAGGAGGGAGGGAGAGAAAGAGAGAGCTCAAGGGAAGTTCATAAATTCGTCATTTTGTTTTTGGCTGTTGACAGTTCTTTGGCTGTTTTGTTGTTGTTGCCATGGTGAGTGCTATTGTGTGTGAGTGGTTTTCAGCGTGCGGGGAAGGGGGTGTGTTCACTGCTTTTCGTCCACTTGTTAAAATTATTCTCAACTCAGTCCGATTCCACTGCGTTCCGCTGGCGTTATTCACCACGCTGAATGGAGTGGAAACGGGATTGAGTGAAAATTGTGACTTGTGAGTGATAAGTGAGTTTGAAAAAGTAATTTAGCATAATAGGATAAATGTTATTTTTAAAATTGTAAAAAAGAATTTTTTGTAAATAAATTTTAACGATTAAAATATTTTTTTTTTTTTAATTAGATCTTTAATAATAATTCTAAGCACTTTAACATTTGATTTCCAATAAAATAAATAATATATTTTTTTAAAACTTACGTTTTGTTGAAAGTTCTTCAAAATGACATAAATTATTAAATTTATAACAAAGAAAATGTATATGTAGCTACTGTCAAAGGTACATTACAAATTTATGGTTCTAAAAAATCTTTCCAGTGAAAATTAACATATCAAATAAAATGGAAGGGTTGTCCCGCATTTACCACCATATTTTAACAATATTGTGGTAATTTTTTCAAAAACTCATATTATTAACATCATTTTAATACATTTTTTTCAGTTTTAATCCTTTTCAAGAAATTATATTTTAGGCAGTTACTTTTTAAAAAAGGTCGAAAAACATGTGCATAAAGTTTAACGGAATATTTAAATGAGGGCAACTTTCATATTTAATTTATGTTTGTATTTGATGACTATTATTACTTTTTCCCTTAAAAATTACCATTTTGGACCGTCACCCTATAATTTTCCACACCATCGAAGGAAATTGACCCTTTCGGTTGGGTCCCAACCACTTTTCCTCATCCTGCGACAGGACTTATCTGAGAAAGTGTCTCGTGTGCTCGGTCCTCCAATTGAAAAATCATAATTGAATATCTGGGTTCCTGTCACTCCTCCTCCTACGTTTTTCCGCCCACCAGCGTATGTAAATGTTTTTAATTTAAATGTTTGCTCAAAAGAACCAACAAAAGATGGTCGGGAAAAAAAATGCGACGATGGCGTGTGAACGCAGCAGAAAATTATAGACCCGGGGAAAAAGTGGAAACTGCTGGATGTGAGGGGTGTTGAGGGGAGGAGAGGAGGGCAGGAGGGTTCCGGGTGGTGCCACCATCTTGTTTCCCTCCGTCAGACGTTTTTTCACAATTCGTCAGCTGCGCCCTTCTTCCTCCCAGGATGATGTCCTTTTCTCGCAGCACTGAAGAAAATTTCAGCCTATGCAAGCAAGAAACATTAAAAAACATTCAAAGATGCTTTTCAAATTGGTATTGTGTTAGAAATTCTCTTAAAATAAATTCGAAAATATTTCGTTCATTATTAAAGTTTTAATTTCAAGTTTTTAATTTTTAAAGGTTTGGTTTGCCTTCACAGATCTTGCTTGAAAATAATGATTTACTTAACATAACATTTGGTATTAAAGTACATAAGGATTTAAAATAATACAAAAGCATTTAAGCCACTATTTTTTATATTAAATATTTATTTAAATATTATTTTTATCCTGACCTTTATATAGCTAATTAATTAAATAAAAAAGTTATTCACTTATTAAACGAATAAAATATTCTTGTATTTTCAATTGAATGATGAACAGGAATGATTATATTCCAGCCATATAGTTTAACCAAATATTAACCAATTTTTTTGGTGACTGTAGCCGTTGTTTTTGTGGCTGCGGTTTCATTTGCATGCGATTCGTGGTTGCCAGCCGATGTGGCGCACAATTGAGCCACTAATGGTGATGTTGATGGTGGCCAGATCGGTGGAAGGAGTAGAAGTATCTAGTATCTGGAGTATCGGGAGTATTTGGTGGAAGGGAAAGGAATGGAAAGGAATTCAGACAGGGTGGGCCCACAACTCGCTTTGTTTGCTTTGTCGCGGCTCGGTGACAATTTTTCAATGATTTGTTTCCTGCCCTGAAATCTCATTTGCATATGCCACCATATTTTTTCAACTTTCCAGGTTTTTTTGGTTTTTTTTTTGTGGTCTTCCCCCGGTTTCTATTACGGCTCCTGCTCCTTTTTTATACATTTTCAGGGGGAGTGAAAAATTGCAATCGCTTTGTTTTTGTTTGCGTTCTGGGTTGGTTTTGGGCAATTTGAATTTGATTTAATGAAATTAAGAGGGCGTGTTCTTCTAATAGTCGTTTCTTTTAATAGTTTTCAACGGATTTTCGTGGAAATCGCTAAGCTAATGAAGTTGGTGGAGTGTGGAAATGCGTTTTAAGTTAATTGAGAAATAAAGACATTTGTCAAAGGTAAAGGGGATGTTCAAGGTAAGTATTTGAAAGCTTACATTTGTATTACAACTGCTCAAAGTACATACATTTTACACAGGTTGTGTTTTGATTCGAATTATATACATTTCAACAAATGCATTCTTAAATTTATTTTAAAAACATTACCCTATTTTAAATTTTTAGATAATATTATTTCTTTTTTGTTTCTTAATGTAGGGTTGATAAAAAAAACCCAGGCAAAAGCAATACTTTGTTAAACCTGGCTGAAACTTCTTGCCTTTAGTAAACCCTTTCGCAAAAAAATCTAAATTGAGGTATTTGCATAATTTCGCTGCACTGCCACTGAAAAATCAAAACAAAGCACTTCAAAGTTATTTATGAACAACATCGCAAAAACCTATGACTAATTTTGGGGCGAAAGAAATAAGAAACTCGGGTAAAGTGCAGGAAAATATTGGGACAGAGCGGAAAAGCCAATCAAGTACGTATCTCTAGAAGCCATTGCGATTCGCATTGAATGGAACAGATTTCCTATAACCTATTCCTATTTTGTTTACGCTTTGACGGGATTACGGCAAAGTCGCTTACGGAAAGCCGCAGAATGGAGCCACCGTCCCAATGGCCATTAGTTTTTATTTGGGAAATTCCACTATTTTCCTTGCGTTTGCTCCTTTTGCCTACGTGCACTAAATGGCCAATAAGCGGGCGGTGGCAGTGGCAGTGGCGGTGGGAAAAAGCGGAAACTAAGCCGTCAGGACATGGCCATCTAAATGCACATGGCGGCCATATTGTGCCAAAGGATATATCAATTTTATTGCCGCTCGAAATCGAAACAACATGTGTGTTCGTTCGGATCTCTTTTTTTTTCTCCCACCCCCCCGTTATTGTTGCATACAAATTGCGTAGCGAATTGTTTTGTTTTTCTGTTCGAGCTGCCATCCTGCATCGCCTTAATCCTTTGCGCCAAGGCAAACAGAAAAATAATAATTGCGAACAATTGTGTTTTATGGCCGTTATGGCCTCCTTGAGCAGATCTGTAAAGTACTATAAAGTAGGCGAAGTGCGAGCGGAGCGTGTCACCCGAAGGCAGGTGCGACTGCGACTTCGACTGCGATTGCAACTGCGACCCAAAAGCCAAGGACACCGGCAATTATCCTTGGGCGAGGGAGTCGCAGACGAGCGCAGCGAATCAATTTCGCCGCCAGCAACGAGATCTCTGCCTAATTTGATTTCATTACCGCGCCCACAACTGCGAAAAATCGTGCACTTGGAAAAGCAATTCTCATGATTATTCAAGAACTAGATCACAAACTTTTAGTCAAGATACACAAATATTTTAAAAATAATAATCAAGTTTAATTGTTTCCAATTTATAGATGCCATACCATCCATATACCAACATATACAAAATTTATCAAATATTTATAATATTTATAATAAATCCTAAAGCTTTAGAAAAAAAGGTTTTTAAAGAAATACATTCTTGGTTTGATAAAACTTACAAATTTTAGATCTTTAAAAATATTTTTTTTTGGTAAAAATTTAACAAAATCTCGGATCATTTTTTCTGAACTTTAAATTAGTATTTATTAAAATCCTAATTAATTTATTGGTGGACTAAAAGTTGATTTGTGAGCCAAAATTTGCCGCAGTGCAGACAAAGCAAATCCTTTTGGCCATGTCCAGGGCGGAGCTGTGGCGATCTT